CATAAGGTAAATAAGTATTTAAGAAACAGAAAAACTTTTTTTTAGCTATATTGCCTATTTTTAGATTCAAAGTGAAAGTTTGTACTTGTTTAGCAGTTATAAAATTTTTCTTTTCTTTTTGGATGCTGAATTTTTCAAAAATTTTAGTTGGGATTATATTTAAAGTACTACCTGTACCAACATTTAAAGAAATAGAACTAGTCGAAATCGAGTGTTTGTCAACGGGCAAAATTGGGAGAATGTTTCTCCCCAATGCATTGTTTCCCTATCTAATAACATGAGAAAACCGGTTTACTTGCAGAACCGTCAGTGGGTTGATCTTTACGTAGTATTTCAAGTATCCACCTTAAAATAGGTTTCTATTGTAAATGGAAATAAACAATATTGTACCAAATAGTATGCTGTTTCCTTTTACATGTTCTAAGGAAATTGCCAACTGTTTCGTTGTTGTCGGAGAATTCTTTTAGTAATAGTAAAATGTAAACATTATTATTAATATTTTGTCAAATAAATGTGATTAAAAACGATTACTCCCGTAATCGTGTTATGAAACAGTCAAATATAAAAAATAAATGTACATCCACAATCGCAAAAGTAAAAAAAGACACATTCAGTATTTTTTTAAAAGCAATCCAATGATATCTATTTCGATATTCAATCCCTCTACCGATGGTGGGGGCAATTTAGAAATCTAAACTATGAAGCCATATTTTCTATTACAGATTCGTATTCTACAGAAAAAAGTAATTCAATTTGACCTCTTGATTTATGCATTTTGCTTCACAGATGGAGCTGCAGCAGAGAAAATTAAAATAGGGTACAAACTATTTAAAACGGTGAAACTCGAGATCCATCAGCTTAAGAACATATAAATGTGTCATGTTTCAAAATATTTTGCATCAACTTTTTCCAATATCTTTTCTATCTCGTGTGCCTCATGATGCTACCATTTTAAGCAGGTTGTATCCTATGTGATGCAAAATGCATCAACCTTTGATCAAACAGATTTTTTTTTCGAGAATCCGAATCTGCATTAAAGATTGGGTTTTAAATATAATATTTCAAAGCTGCTCCTCCCAGGGGTAAGGGTGATATCAGCAGATAGCTGAATTTAAAAAAATACTGAAGGCATCTAATTTCATTTTTTTCAATTTTCAATTAAGTGTATATTTCACCGTTTCCAAACTTTTTTTTGCACCCTAGACCAGCGGTTCCCATTTTTTTTTTCGGTATTGGAACTCTAAATAATAAAACTTTTTTCGGCAGAACCCTATCTATATAAAAAAAGTACGTATATGAAGATAATTGTAAGAGTATTCAACAATAATATAGTATTTTGTTTAAGGATTAAATAAATAAGACATTTTTTCATCGTTTTACCATCATTAATATTAAATTGAATTTTATGACCTACAAAGCCAAATTCACAGTACTGGAGTCTAGTACTGAGGTCTAGTCTAGTACTGAATTGGTTTGTGGTGTACGTATAGAAACTGAAAACTAATAATATTTTTTTAAATGAAAGCTAAAAAAAAACAAACTGATATAAACGTTGAAAATTGCTATTAGGGAAACACATTTCTTTAGTAGCTAATTAAGATAATTCAGCTTCATTTGGTGGGAAATACGAATGCACTTTTTTAGATGTATGTCATTTTCATAATTTATTCAATGCATTGTTATTAAAAAAAATTCCACATTTCTTTTTTTGAAAAAAAGTCATTTCTTTTTATTGGCATTTCAATTTAAATAATTACATAAAGGTAACCGAAATATTAAATAAATAATGGCTTATTTTTTTGACTTAAATATGATTAACAACACCATTTGGGAGCCGCTACCCTAGATTAAAACTGCAAATTGTGTTGGGTGGAGGTCAAAGATCAACATATGACTTAAAACTTTGCTTACATTTATACATTTATATATTTCTAATAGAACGTCATAGGGAGGGTGAACTGGGAACTATGTATATATATATATGTAATAACAGGGCTCCAACCCTGTTATCAGTGTTGTATTTAGCTNATTATTATTGCTGAAATCTGAAAATTAGGCTCAAACAGCAATGCCCTAAACACACGCAATAAGAAAATCGAACTAAAAACGGAAACAAAAAGAAAACGTAAGTAAGTTAATAGTAGATAATATCAATTTTATTAAAATAAAATAAAACTTATTAATTTTCTTCATTTTTCTCTTTGTTTTTATTGTGCTATATTATAGTGATCATATTTAAAGCAGCTTTACCGCTTGATATTATCTGCTATTAACTTACTTTCGTTTTCTTTTTGTTTCCGTTTTTAGTTCGGTTTTGTTCTTATTGTGCTATGTTATAGTGATCATATTTAAAGCAGCTTTAGTGCTTGATATTATCTACTATTAACTTACTTTCGTTTTCTTTTTGTTTCCGTTTTTAGTTCGATTTTCTTATTGCGTGTGTTTAGGGCATTGCTGTTTGAGCCTAATTTTCAGATTTCAGCAATAATAATAATTTGGCGCCTGATAAAAATCAATTCAAAACGAGCAAATCCTGTTTCCTTTTTTTTTGGAATAATTATTAATTTTCTAAAATTATTTTAATTAACAAACTTATTAATTACAAACTCTAAGTTATCCAGTTAATATTATTACCTTGCGCACATCCATTTTCGGGCCCATCCAAGGTAACTAACAAATTTGACGCTCTTCAGTATTGCACTAAGAATGTGCCATAAGATATCACTTTATTTATGTTTCTGTTTTCATATCTTGTAATCTGGCAATCTTATTACGAAAATATTTTAAATCATTCTTGAAAGATTCCGGTACGCGTAAGTTCATTTTAATTCGCTCCTCACTATGTAGATTTCCCTTCGTGTACTGTTCTCTAATCTCTTAACATTTTATTTTCTGTTTTTTGCTATATATATTTTTTTGTTTTTTCGTATATATTTTTTACTTAATGTGTTCGAATTTCGTTAAAATTTATTTGAGTCCTCCTCACACTATTATATTGATATATTTTGCTTTGGCTATATTAATACAATATTAGAAAGCACTCCTTTTTGCGGATATAATCGTGTGGGCTGATAAAGAGATTATAGCTTTTCTTTGTTTCGTTCTCCGGATTTTTCTTCCTTCAGATATCAAAAATTATATTTTTTTAAAAATACTTTTGAAAAATATTTTTAATTACTTTCTTCTCTTGTCAATATTTTTTATTTTCCATATTTTCTCAATAGTTTTGCTTATATATATATATAAATAACATAACAAGCTTCAACTAATCTTTTCATGTTATTCCTTTTCTCCTTTTCTGTAAATCTTTTTCTTAATATATTATTCTAAACTAAACGCTCCTTTTCCCACTCTAAACTTCACATCCCGTCTTTTAATTTATTTTTGGCGTCAAGTTCTGCATTAATTAACATTTTCGATTCTTTTAAATTCATGTAATGGTAAGAAATATATTTTCCTTCTGCCTATTTAAGAGGCCAATTATAATTACTCGGCTTTCCCTTTCCTCTAAAACGAAACATTTTGCGAATTTAATTAGCAAGATTTTCCCTAACTTTTATTGACTTAGGCACATTGATTTGCTCTTTTTAAAATCCTGTGCCTTTTTGTTCTGCTCTCATAAATAAAGATATATATATATATGTAACATAAAAAGCTTCTATTAATCTTTTTACGTTAGTTTCTTTGCTATAAAACAACTCCTACTTTATTACTAATTAATTATTCTATTCCAAATTCTTTCTCACACTTTTAAAAGCCACATCCTGTTCTTAAATCTATTTTTGGCTCAACTATGCATTTAATTAAGAGCAGGACATATCTCCCTATGCTCTGTGTGGGAAAAGCTAGATTTCTTTCATAAACCAATAGTAATCCTTATCACTTCCCTTTTCCCCTCAAATATAACAAAATAGAGGGAAATTCCTTTGCTACTTTCCCTAAGATAAAAACTTAAGCACACAGTTTTTGAGTGCGATTTTGAGCTCCGCCTTTGCTAGAAAATG